CTCGCGAGTCTATTATTTTCTAAAACAAATTAATTAACGTTCGAGAATGATCATTTACGGATGTTAATGATCGGTTTGAATAAGTTGTACCCTAAAATTAAAAATCAATGGAAAAAATAAGGAAATGGCTTGAAATTAGTAGGCATCAAATTACGCAAGTCAAGGGTGAAGGGCCCAAACGTCAGATTCAAGTTATTCAGAATTGAGTTGAAATTAAAAGTAAACCAACCCCTTCAATAAGCAAAAGATTGACTCAACCCTAAAGTTTTGATTATTTAAGTCAAACCCTTGAAAATTTGCCAAATCTAAGTTGATAATTGATGCTTACTATTTTATCTAAGTCAACCTTTATTAATATCTCAATAATTTCTTTTAAGAAAATGGTAAGCTCGATTTAAGATTTAAGTCAATATTATAATTAGAATAATAATATTAATTTGAAATAATTGATTATCTAATTAAAAATTCAGGAAAAAAAATTATATACATATATGTATACAAATGTCCAAAAAAACCTCTTGAGAATCATTATAAATATTTCTATTATTAGTTTCAATAAATTTTTTATATATTAATAGTAGAATTAAGGTTTTCATCATCATTTCATAAGAATTAATTATAAAGTTAATTATTAAACTACTTTTTAGTATTCATTTTACACATATTAAAATTAATTCATCTAATTTTTAAATTTTTTTTATCATTTCACTAAAAAGAATCAAAAGATCATGGATATCTATGTATTTTTTTTTTTTAATAATTACTAATTAATTTATCTAGGTTTAATTGGTTTAAGTAATTAATTAATTTAATCTTATAATTATAAACCAATCAAAATGAAATATAATTATTGTCAAAACGTATAATATGGTACACATGCATATGCATATGCAATTATCATCACCTTGAATCATAATTAATTTATCAGAAAATTAAATTCACAAAATAATAATATTGATTAGAAAAATTAAATGCTAATACCCTAAATGTGAATGTTCAAGTGTGGTCCAAAAGTGCTTATTACGAAAGCACTTTAAAAAGACAGAAACAAACGGGTAAAAGTGACGACCAAACACTTCCTCCATTAATGAGTCTTGTCCAAACTCCATGACTTCGAATTATATTGACTTCCTCCAGTACAATAATGTAAAGTTACGTTACAGAAGAAGAAAGGGTAATTAGTTAATTAATTAATTAATTAAATTCCTTGTCATTATATTAAGCATTAATAGCTATGCATAACATTAATTATTAACCTCATAACTGACCATATAATTAAATTAAACCAAACATAGGATTAATATAACAATTAATGCTTATGTTAATAAAAAAAACAAATTATCCCATTAATCTCCTATTTATTTCAGTCAAACATTATTAAATCAGTAGAAATTAAGAAGCATTCATTGGACATCTAACTAAAAATACCTTTTTATTATAATAAATTACAAAATTTAAATTTAAAACTTTGAATGGAAATTTCAAAAAGCAATAGGAATTCTTGGATGTATTACTCAAGAGATCTTGAGTTCGATTCTCCTCAGTTGCTAAAAGTCTTGAGTTTGATTCTCCTCAATTGCTAATAGGAGTGACCATGACTCAAGGGAGGGTTTACCTGATTATTAACTTTAAGAACTCGGGGGACTAATCAAGATATCTACAAATTGACCTAAGCACCCCCAATAAAAAAGAAAAATAAATAAATAGAAATACCCATCTGATTATCTTGATGATCACAAGAAGTCAAAGATATGAACGACCCACTGAAGTTAAGAGAGAAAAGGTCAATGAAAAAGAAATAACAAAGAATTTTAGAGATTAATCGAGATATCTACCTAAGCACCCCCAGTAAAAAAAAATAAAATAATAAATAAATAAATAGAACTACACATCTGATTATCTTGATGATCACAATAAGTCAAAGATATGAACGACCTAGTGAAATTAAGAGAGAAAAGGTCAATGAAAAAGAAATAACAAAGAACNTAATAATTACTAATTAATTTATCTAGGTTTAATTGGTTTAAGTAATTAATTAATTTAATCTTATAATTATAAACCAATCAAAATGAAATATAATTATTGTCAAAACGTATAATATGGTACACATGCATATGCCTATGCAATTATCATCACCTTGAATCATAATTAATTTATCAGAAAATTAAATTCACAAAATAATAATATTGATTAGAAAAATTAAATGCTAATACCCTAAATGTGAATGTTCAAGTGTGGTCCAAAAGTGCTTATTACGAAAGCACTTTAAAAAGACAGAAACAAACGCGTAAAAGTGACGACCAAACACTTCCTCCATGAATGAGTCTTGTCCAAACTCCATGACTTCGAATTATATTGACTTCCTCCAGTACAATTATGTAAAGTTACGTTACAGAAGAAGAAAGGGTAATTAGTTAATTAATTAATTAATTAAATTCCTTGTCATTATATTAAGCATTAATAGCTATGCATAACATTAATTATTAACCTCATAACTGACCATATAATTAAATTAAACCAAACATAGGATTAATATAACAATTAATGCTTATGTTAAAAAAAAAAAAAAAAATTATCCCATTAATCTCCTATTTATTTCAGTAAAAAATTATTAAATCAGTAGAAATTAAGAAGCATTCATTGGACATCTAACTAAAAATACCTTTTTATTACAATAAATTACAAAATTTAAATTTAAAACTTTGAATGGAAATTTCAAAAAGCAATAGGAATTCTTGGGTGTATTACTCAAGAGAATTTGAGTTTGATTCTCCTCAGTTGCTAATAAAAGTCTTGAGTTCGATTCCCCTCAATTGTTAATAGGAGTGATCATGACTCACGGGAGGGTTTACCTGATTATTAACTTTAAGAACTCTGGGGACTAATCAAGATATCTACAAATTGACCTAAACACCCTCAATAAAAAAGAAAAAGAAATAATAAATAAATAAATAGAACTACCCATCTGATTATCTTGATGATCACAAGAAGTCAAAGATATGAACGACCCAATGAAGTTAAGGGAGAAAAGGTCAATGAAAAAGAAATAACAAAAAATTTTAGGGATTAATCGAGATATCTATAAATTGACCTAAGCAGCCCCAGTAAAAAAAATAAAATAATAAATAAATAAACATAACTACCCATCTAATTATCTTGATGATCACAAGAAGTCAAAGATATGAATGACCTAGTGAAATTAAGAGAGAAAAGGTCAATGAAAAAGAAATAACAAAGAACTTGAGGGATTAATCGAGATATTTACAAATTGACCTAAGCACCCCGGTAAAAAAAAAAAAAAAAAAATAGAAAAAAGACAGAACTATCCATCTGATTATCTTGATGATCACAAGAAGTCAAAGATATAAACGATCCAATGAAGTTAAGAGAGAAAAGGTTAATGAAAAATAAATAACAAAGCACTCGAGGGATTAATCGAGATATCCACAAATTGACCTAAGCACCCCCAGTAAAAAAAAAAAAAATAAAAATAAATAAATAAACAGAACTACCCATCTGATTATCTTGATGATCACAAGAAGTCAAAGATATGAATGACCCAGTGAAATTAAGAGAGAAAAGGTTATGAAAAAGGAATAACAAAGAAATTGAAGGATTAATTGAGATATCTACAAATTGACCTAAGCACCCCCAGTGAAAAAGAAAAATAAATAATAAACAAATAGAACTTCCCATCCGATTATCTTGATGATCACAAGAAGTCAAAGATATGAACGATCCAATGAAGTTAAAAGAGAAAAGGTCAATGAAAAAGAAATAACAAAGAACTTGAGGGATTAATCGAGATATCTACAAATTGACCTAAGCACCCCCAGTAAAAAAAAAAAATTAATAAATAAATAAACAGAACTACCCATCTAATTATCTTGATGATCACAAGAAGTCAAAGATATGAATGACCCAGTGAAATTAAGAGAGAAAAGGTCAATGAAAAATAAAAAACAAAGAACTTGAGGGATTAATCGAGATATCTACAAATTGACCTAAACACCCCCGTGAAAAAGAAAAATAAATAATAAATAAATAGAACTTTTCATTTGATTATCTTGATGATCATAAGAAGTCAAAGATACAACGACCCAATAAAGTTAAGAGAGAAAATGTCAATAAAAAAGAAATAACAAAGAACTTTAGGGATTAATCGAGATATCTATAAATTGATCTAAACATCCCAATAAAAAAAATAAAATAATAAATAAATAAACAGAACTATCTATCTGATTATTTTAATGATCACAAAAAGTCAAAGTTATGAACGACCTAATGAAGTTAAGAGAGAAAATATCAATGAAAAAGAAATAGCAAAGAACTTGAGGGATTAATCAAGATATCTACAAATTGACCCAAGCATCTCCAATAAAAAAAAAAAAAATTATTCATCTATTATCTTGATAATCACACTAAGTCCAAAATATGAACCAAAAATAAAGTTAAAAGAGAAACAAGGTCAATGAAAAAGAAATAACCAAGAAAGTGAACAGAATTGATTTTGATTCTATTTGTCAGAACAAAAAATTAAATAGGGGCATTAATAAAATTTGTAAGTGTAAATGTAAATATTATAAAAATAAATAAATAAATAATAATATTAAATATTAATTAATGGCTCGAAGCCCCAGTCTAAACTCCCAATCATTTCACCAGCTGACCTTTGAACCGACAATCAGACTAACCCCACTTATAAACAGAAAGCCTGCCGGTGATTTTCCTACAACCATCAATATTTTTTCATCAGATTCACACGTGTCAGACATCAGACGGGGATCACACCCTTTGACTTGACGACCACAGTCAAAAACCCTAGCGGTATTATTAAATATTTTAGTTTTAGTTTTAATTTTAACATTTTCTTCTGTTACTTTCTCTCCCCTATTTATTTGACCTTTAAATCTCCACTTTTTTCCTCCATCTCCATTTCATATTCTTTTTCTGGTTCTCTCTCATTTGTCCCCCTTTTGTTTTTTTTCTGTGTTTTCACCTTTACCCTTTTACATCCATCTCTCTATCTCTTCTTCTTCTTCTTCTTCTTCTTCATCATCTTCTTCCCTTTCTGCTTTTTACTTTCATGGCGGTTTTACCCAGAAGCTCTTCTAGCTTGGAGTTGACGATCGGCTTCTCTTCTTCTCCTTCTTTTCCTAACTCCTCCGGTAAGCCTCATCATCATCTTCATACGATTTTCTTTTTTTCTCTTTTTGATTGATGATCATGATCGCATGCACACACGGAATTTAAGCCATAGGCTTCTGATTGTTCAGACTTCTCTCGTCGCCACAGAGAACTCTACCAGTAACTTATGTTGATCCGTACTAACAATCCCGATCATGTTTATTAATCGTCATCAACTTCTGTTACTTGTTTATTTCAGACAATTTTTTTTTTCGTCTTTATTGATTCTTCAAACATCTCTCATCACAAATAACTCTATCAGTAACTTATGTTGATCCACACTTCACGATCGATGTTTATTAAATTTTTTCTTTTTGGTGTAAAAGGTGATCAAGGGGCTTGTGGAATGAAAGATTTGGACATAAACCAAGTGCCGTCAGGAGGAGGAGAAGAGGACTGGAACACAACGGCGAGCATGGAAGACGAAGAAGAAAGCAGCAATGGAGGTCCTCCGAGGAAGAAGCTCCGTCTCTCCAAAGAACAATCTCGTCTTCTTGAAGAAAGTTTCAGACAAAACCATACATTAAACCCCGTAATAACTTCACCCTTTCTCTCTTTTTTTCTCTTTCTTTGACTTTTTTTTTTTTTTTTAACTATATAAAAAAAAAACTTCTCTTTACAATAAATGTTCTTTGAAATTTTTACAGAAACAGAAGGAAGCATTGGCTATGCAGTTGAAGCTGAGGCCACGGCAAGTTGAGGTGTGGTTTCAAAACCGTAGGGCCAGGTACTGTTACTGTTACTTTACCCTATCTCTCTTTGCTTGCTTAGATTACATGAATTTGTTTTTGTTTTCATTGTTTTTGCTTTCTTTGTTTTTTTTTTCCATTTTTTTGTTGGTGGTTGGGATTAAAGTAGGGCACCATAATATAGATGTTAACTAAACACAAAACGTTGACAGAATAATATATCATAAAGTGTATAATCTGAATCAGATTCTACCGTATATTATCGTACTCTTATTCACATAAAGTAGAAAGCGATTTTTCCCAACAAAATATTTCATTTTAATACAAATTCTTACATGCATGCGTTTACAAATTCTTCTAAATGCAGCCATTTAACTTTTCATCATTTTTTTGTTTTGTTTTATGTAGTTAAAATTATTTGACCCAATATGATAATTGTTTGGGTGTCAAGAAAAGAATGGTATTCCCCAGTTTATTTCTTAGCTGAAAAGGAGTGAGAACGTGATGTTTGAACTACAAGTTTTTGATGTCAAATGGGTCGTTGAAATCAATTCATAGTCACAGTCCTTGAAAACAAGGAAAACGAAAGATAGTAGTGGGGTTCAATGTGAATCTTACTTATATAAGCTAGCCAAATATATGCTTTTATTGGTCGTTGAATTTTGATTCTTAGAACATATTGAAAAGTCTAGTTTGAATAGTTATAGCTTTTGAAAGTTTCAAAGAAGCTGCAGTCATCCATCCATCCACAAGTGGGATTTTTTTTTTTTTTCTTCTAAATATTTACATGCGTGTTTTTCAGATTTCACAATTTTATCATATGGTCTTCTTAATTTCTTGATATATAATATATGGTCGATGAAAATATAGGAAAAATATTGTGGCAGGAAGAGAGAGCGGTCTTGTTGATTAAGACTGTAATGAATAATAAGATAGAGATAGGATACCCATCTTAAAAAAAAAAAAAAAAAAGAAAGAGAAAAATAAATGTCGAAAACGGAAGTGTTAATATGAAAACAGGTGGCGAAAATTACACATAAAACTGAGATTAGGTGTTGAATTTAGATGGACCAAAACGAATGAAAGAAAGAAAAGTGAGAACAATAAATAAATAAATTAAATGTTTGAGAAAGAAGACACAGAAGATGGACAAAGTAGCTCAGCAAATTTATGAAGCCATTAATGATTTGGTTTTTTGGTTATGTCATCGAGCTCACTGCTCAGCTTTTTGTATACCAAAGGGGGCAATTGCAATGATAGTAATTGTCTATAAATTAAAATATATTTATTTATAAAATTATTATATATGAAATGATGTATTGGTTCTTTGGCCTCGTGTACGAGTCAGATCATAATTAATTTATCTTAATAATAATAATAAGTGAAACTTTGACTCATTATTGTGATTCATCTTTTGGATGAGTACTGGGTGTTTGCCATGCATTAATTATGGTTTATGTTATAGATAAGTACGTGTTTAACATTATATTTGAATGCCTTAAATAGGAGTGATTAATTATTATGTTGTTTTTTGTATTTATTTTTTTAATTAAAGAAACCGCGTTTTATTTTATTTATTAAATTCTTGACGGGTCAAGCAAGTTGGAGAGAAATTAATTAAGTGTATAAAATATAATAATTGGAGTTCATTGAATGCACTTATATATTTGAATGTTTCAAATGGCATTTATTACGCTTTAATTAATTAGGAGGCTCCGAGAAACCTCCCCATTCACCTAAAAGGAGAAAATTAAGATAAAAATTTATTTTAAAACATAATATTAAAATATATATTAAGATAATTAAGTTTATCTTAGATTAAGTGCCTTCTTTGTACTAAGTTTCTTAGTATAATCTTTGAACCCACCAACCCAAAATAAATTTCTTTGAATTCAACGCATCTTCCCTTACATAAAACTTTATATAAAGTCATTCTTTTCTAGGAATGTTTTATTTATTTTAAGTAATTAATTAAAATTAATGATAAAATAGATATAATTGATTTTTGCAGGAGCAAGCTGAAGCAGACAGAAATGGAATGCGAATACTTGAAGAGATGGTTCGGTTCATTGACAGAACAAAATAGGAGGCTACAGAGGGAAGTGGAGGAGCTCCGGGCGATGAAGGTGGGGCCGCCGACGGTGATATCACCGCATAGTTGTGAGCCACTTCCGGCATCCACTCTCTCAATGTGTCCCCGGTGTGAGCGCGTGACAACCACGGCTGCCGACAAAGGCCCCAACAAAATAAACGCCGCCTCCTCCACTGCTGCCACCATGTCCCCAAAAGTGGGGACGGCCGCCCTCCAATCACGGTAGAAGAAAGAAATCAAGAAAGAAAGAATGTTTAGAGAATGTTAATAGTAGTTTAATTAATTAATTAAATTAATTAATTACAAAATTAATGTGAAATGCAATTGTGCATGCATGCATGCACGAATTTGAATATTTTGAAAATAGATACTATATAATATATAATATATGGTGTCTAGTTCCACATAGAAATTAGTAATTTTTGTTTTTATTGTTTAATTTATTTGTTTGGTGTTTTTATTTTTTTGGGTTTGATTTATTTAATCTTTTCAAATGCCACAATGTTCAGAATATATTAATTAATTCATCTTTGATTAATTATTTGTTATTACTTTGATTAATTAAGTAAAATATTGTGGTTTATTATTTTTGGTTGAATCCTATTTCTAAAGCAAAAGGATGAATTTATGAATATTATAAGAAACCTTAGAGTTTTACATTACATGTAAAAGGATGAATTAAATATTTTGATTACATAAAATTTAAAAAAAAAAAAATGCCCTCTCTATACTGTCCCTATATTTATATTTCTATCATTAATTTAGGCACTTCATTTAATCACCAATAAGTATCAATTTCATCATTTAATTAAATAAAATCTTTCATTCATCCGCAATATCATAAATAATTCATTTGCAAATAATATATGTATGAAATTGGGCTTAGACTCTTCGGAAAAATTCATTAAGTAATTCACATTAAAAAATCTTCGATTATTGAAGAAAAAATTGTTTATTAGATATAAGAAAAAGAATATATCGATTAAATCCGTTGAAATGTTTAGGGTGTAGGAACGCTATTGTTTACATACTAAGTTTCACTTTATATCTCTAGACATTAATAAAACTATATAATGTCATGAAACAAATCTTGAAATTACTAACATTTTGTGTGTTGAGAGAGAAAGAAAAAAAAAAAAAAAAAAGGATAGCGTAAAAAATTAATCAATACATACCCTAATGATCTTTGAAATATTCATGCTCAAGTGCTTCTTGAGGCGATATCCTCAAGTCCGGATCCAAGCGTAGCATGCACGGGTAAAATTTAAAACTTGAGAAAACTCTTTGTATTTCATATCGCTGATCTCAAATATACTTAGTAACATAACAGTTGACGTAGGCTTTACAAGTTCACTATTCAAACCACTTTAAAATTCTCTTTATCCTTATTGTTTTATTATTAATTTATGTCTACTCAGTATCGTATCATTCAATTGCTAATTCATCAGGATTACGCACACATCATACACTTTTTTAGTGTTGTCAATCGCGTACCTCTAGTTGTTACGATTTATTGCATCAACACTATGATATCATATAGGAAATCTACAATGTAAGTGTGAAACCTATAACATATAAATTTTATGAATAATAATTGAAAGTTGAAACTTCAGTTATTGGGAATTATCTTTTTACTATTTTCATCAACTTCTAAACCATTGGATTATAATGGATTGGCGATTGTAAATTTATTTTCAAAAAATTTAGTCAAAATTTAAGTTGATATAGCCCAATCCTATAAAATATTAATGAGATAAACGTAATACAAATAATAATTAAGATAAAAATATACAACTATCTTAATCTAATTTAATTAAATTGTTAAGATAAATTACTAGAAACATTAAAATTCAAATCACCCATTATCTCTCTTTCAATATTTAAGTTAATGTCACAGGGCCTAAACTCCCTTCTAAGAACTGCACGGCACAAGCGCACCAAGCACTTGTCAGCCTTCCTTAAGTTGTGCGTATCCCTATTACAAATAGCAAACACAATACAAGAGAGGCTAATGAGAGTATATTGCACAACATATACGGGAAAACCCAACCTTATATTATATAATTCCGAATACACGGAAACTCAAGCACCCACATAGTGTTTCCCACTGTTCACAATCTGATCCCAATCACAGATTTAGTACCCAAGTTACAACAAGGTATACACACAGATATATCCCTTGCCCTCTCTCACTCTCTCACGAATTTACAACTTGCTTGCCTTATATACATGTTGGCATAGCAATTACATAGAGGTTACAGCAATAGTTACAACCCTATCTAGCAGTTACATAACAGTTGGCTTACATACAAGTCTATCTAGATAATTATAACTGTCCCACAGCCTTTGTCCAGCAACCATGCAGCCTTGTCTGATCATCCCATCATCTAGTGCACGACCACATGCACCCCACGCACATTGGTCCTTGCCACATGCATGTACTCAGCCACTTGTTGTTTGTCTTGCATGTTTGCACATGTCCTAGCTTGTGTGCCCCTGCTTAGCCTGCCCATGGGCACCCCACACCCAACACATGTCTACGAGCGCATGTTCTAGCTTGCAAGTGCCCACACCCACAAGCCATCTCATTTGTGAGTACTTGGTGTCCCAACTCTCAAACACCCCACACCTGATCTCGCCCATCCTTGTTTAGCATACACCCGTATGTTGTTTTGGCAAGGCTGTGGCTAAGGATGAAAGCCACACGCCTACCCTTGCCTTGGCATCCTTGAGGGTCTTACAAACCACCCTCACCAGAAGAGTCCGACGTCCTCGTCGGAACGGTGGAAATGTACTCCTATACAATGTTCTCAAATTGCCACAAATCTATATCTCTTTCCCACGAAACCTCACTTTCTTTCCCCCCTTTTCCACTTCACCAAATACTCAATTCGGCGATTCTTCTTATGTTGTCCCATCCTCCGATGATCTAATATCTTCTCAATCTCATCATCAAACTGTTTTTTGATCATGGGAGGAGCTCTCTTAGCTTGGGTCCTTGAAGAGTCCTCTTTGTCCACATGGAATGGTTTCAAAAAGCTCACATGAAATGTGGGATGTACCTTGATCCATTCAGGCAGTTTCAACTTATAAGCAACATCACCCATTTTGCTTACAACCTCAAACGGTCCATCATACTTTGGAGCCAATGCCTTATGCACTCGTTTGCTATTGATCTTCTTCCAAATCTGAGGAGTGAGCTTGAGTAGCACGTGGTCACCCACATCAAACTCTAATAGTCTCCTCTTAGCATCAGCATACTTTTTCATCCTCTTACTTGCTTTCCGCAAGCTATCTTGAGCTTGGTCAATAATCTCTTGTCTGTCTTTCATCACCTTGTCAGCAGCAGGAAATTTCCCTTTTGTTGGCTGTCTAGCAATCTCTATTGGGGTCAAGGGTTGTTGCCCTAACACCAACTCAAAAGGACTCAGCTCTGTTGAAGATGATTTGTGTAGATTGTAGCAAAATTAGTAGCATAATGCCGAAGATACTCCTCCAGCAATGCATTCACCCGTTCAGTCTAACCACCCGTCTGTAGGTGATTGGCTGTAGAAAACTTCAGTTCGGTTCCCATCATATTGAAACGAGTAGTTCAAAATCGCCCAGTAAACCATGCATCTCTATCACTAACCAAGTCTACTGGTACTCCAAAATATTTCACCATGTTTTTATAAAATAAGGCAGCAACTATCTCCGTTGAACAAGCTTCTGGTGCTGCCATAAAAACAGCATATTTTGAAAATCTGTCCACCACAACAAGGACTGAAGACATACTTTCCACCTTTGGGAACTCACTGATGAAGTCAAGAGAGGCTGACACCTAAGGCCTCTCCGGAATGGGCAGGGGTTGTAACAACCCTACTACCTTTCTTCTTTTTGTTTTGTCCAGTTGACAAACCAAACACATTTTCACATAGGATTCGATATTGGCTTCCATTTTAGGCCAATAATAATCCCTCGTTAATAAAGCCAAAGTTCTCTCCTTACCAGGATGTCCAGCCCAAGGTGAATCGTGAACTTCTTTTAGCAACAACCGTCTCAATCCACCCTTATTTGGGACATACAACCTGTCTCCTCTGGCATGCAACAACCCATCCTCTAACCAATAACGCTGTATAGTACTATCACGAACTTGTGTCACCAAGTCCTTATACTCAGCATCCTAATCGGCAGCCACTCGCAACCTATCCAATATGTTAGATTCCACTTGAGTTATTGCAGATAGAGCAGCAACCACCTGTTTCCTGCTCAGAGCATCGACAACTTGATTGTGCCTTCTTGACTTGTGTTGCTATGCAAAATCATACTCAACCAAAAGTTTTTGCCACTGGGCCTGTTTTGGGGACAACTTCTTTTGTGTCTTGAAGAAAGTATTGGCCACATTGTCTGTCAACACTACAAATTTCGTGCCCAGCAAGTACACTCTCCACACTTGTAAAAATTGCACAACGGCCACCATCTCTTTCTCATGTGCAGAATACCGCTGCTCTGCCCCATTTAACTTTCGACTCTCAAAAGCTATGGGATGTCCCTCTTGTACCAACACCCCACCAATGGCTTTCTCTGAAGCATCCGTATGCACTTCGAAAGGTAACTCAAAATTTGGCAATCTCATCACCGGTTCTGAGGCAATGGATTCCTTCAACTTTTCAAAAGTCTTGGAACATGATTCTGTCCACTCCCACTGTTGCTCCTTTTTCAGTAAGTCTGTCAATGGTGCTGCCTTCTTTGAGTACCCCACAATGAACTTGCGGTAATAGTTTGCCAAACCCAAGAAAGATCTCAACTCAAGAGCTTTTGTAGGAGCCAACCATTCCACAATTGCCTGTACCTTCTTTGGATCCATCCTCACTTGGGCCTTACTCGCCAAGTGCCCCAAGAACATGATTTCCTGTTTAGCAAACTCACATTTTTCCATCTTTATATACAGTTGATGTTCTCTTAAACGCATTAGTACCCTTCTCAAATGAATTAAATGCTCATCCAAATTTCGACTAAATATCACAATATCATCCAAGTATACCACCACAAATTCATCCAAGAACTCATACAGTATATCATTCATCAAATTGCAAAATGTAGCCGGTGCATTTGTCAAGCCAAACGGTACGACTAAAAATTCATGAGAACCATACTTGGTCACACAAGTGGTCTTAGGCTCATCTCCCGCAACAATTCTGACTTGCCAATATCCCAACCGCAAGTCCAACTTAGTGAAAACCGAAGCCCCACTCAACCTATCAAGGAGATCTTGAATAAGGGGAACAGGATACTTGTTCCGAATTGTAACCTTGTTCAATGCCCTATAATCCACACACATCCGAAGGGAACCATCTTGC